CAGTTCTTCTTTCAGTTTATTAGTATATTCTTCTTCTTTTATTAAATGAGTGTTAAAAGTCCATCTTTTCTTTGATTTTCTTCTACCCCTCCAGGTTATTTGAATTGGGTTGTGGTCAGCCCAGTCATTTGGTAAGATTTCGCTATCTTTGATTTCATTAATTAATTCACCGTTTATCCAAGCCATATCTATTCTTGTCCAAATTTTGTGTGGGTTAGAATAATAAGTAAACTGTTCTTTTGGGGGGTTTAATTTTCTCCAGATATCTACCAGATTCATTTCATTCAACATATCCTTACATGGCTTAGAGAATTCTCTATTTACTTTTTTGTTCTTACTCCTATTACTATGATCCTTCCGGTAGTCAGCAATAGAGTTAAAATCACCAATCAGAATAATATTACCATTTTCAAATTCTGTTATTTTTTGATGGAGATGTTTAAAAAAATTACCTTGATCATCATTTGGGGCATAGATTACTACCAGTAAGAGTGTAATGCCATTAATCGAGATTTGTACCACCAGAGTTCTTCCTACAGGGTCCGCCCAGATTAACTCCGCTTTTAAGTCATCTCTCACATAGATTGCAATACCTTTCTTTTTGTGTTTATCTGCTGGTGCTGTAAATAATTTTCCCAGTTTCGGACAATCTAGGAATTTCTCCTCACTTTTCCTAATGCCAAATTTGACAGTGTTTTTCCAGCTACTTTCTATGGCTGTTTTTATCCTCACTATTTTTTAAAGTCTCGTCTAAGGGCAATGAAAGCACAAGGAATCCAGAATGAAGCTAGCTTTGTCACATCTCTTGCTGTGGAAAGTTTGACGATGTAAGAATATGGCAAAATACAAAGCAAGTTCAATAACAAGACTATCCAGGAAAACACAAACTTGTATTTTACTCACCTAGACGTCCAAAATGCATAAATGACACCCATACCTAGGGGGCTGGGGGAGGGAATCAACTTTACTTTTTTAAAGAAAAAAGTGGTTCCTTATGGTCACAAAGGAAAAATACCTTCAAAGATGCAAATCTTCTTTTAAAAGAAAGTTTTCTATTCAAAGGAAATTCAAAGATTTATAATCAGAAAGTCTATAGTGATAAGAATTTTCAATCACATAGGAACTACTGTAAAAGGATTAAGATTCAAGATAAGCCTTCCTCCATTCAGTTGATGATCACTGCTGGAAATAGTGCAATGCTCTATTTCATCAAAATCTCCAAAGATTATTTCTACTTTAGGACTATTTTAGGACTGTTAAGGTGAATAGGATATCACTATTTTTACCACCTTATAGAAAATATCATCCAGATAGCTAAATTGTTCCCTAAGCCAGTTATTTATTTTTAGATTACCTTACTTTTCAGCCCTGACGTGTGATAAAATACTTAGCAGAGTCATTAAAAATTGAGCTCACATATATAACTTACTATTGAATTTATCTATTATCTATATGTCACAATTAGCTAGGCTCACTCACAATGCCAGACCAAAGTGCTTTATTTCAGTCATTGACTAATAAAAATACATTCATTAAAGGAGAGCAAAGTTAAGCTCTAACATCAGTGGCAACCATTTGTGGGGAAAACTTGCACATAATGGAGCAAAATTTCAGTACTTTTACAGGGGTAGATTTTTGCAATTTAATTAACAAATATTGCAAATAAAAATGATCAGAGTGACCTGGTAATTTATATGAAAAGGGGTAATTGGTTGGTGGTGAAAGTTCCTGTAGAAGTAGCAGTACAAAAGGGTTCATTCAAGAAAGTTCAGTTGTCTTTTGAAAAGCACCTTTGGGACAACCATGTCCTGGATTATTAAGAATCTCAGATGCTTAGAGATAAAATAGGAGATTTTTAGACTAACTATAGAATAAGTATAAACCTCTGCCTTTTCGATGAATAATCATCTCTCTAGCAAGATGTGTGCACCCTAATTTCACTACTTCAATTAGTCCCAAAGTAATATTTTGAATATTACCATACATGGGGAACATTCTGCATTGGCAGTAGGAGACATACATTTGTTCTTCTTCCCTACTTTTAGCTTCTTTAACTGGAGGCTTTCTACTATTTTGGGCTATTACTACACATGACCAGATGCCCATTGCTGTGGGATAAGAATTTTTTCTCCTTATTCTGATCCTATTTGTACATTCAAGGAACAGCAGAAGTTGGGGGATGATTTATTGCCCAGCAGTGCTGACTGAATGAGCTTGGACAGAAAGGTAGAAAGATGCTTCCAAAAGTATTTTTTAGAAAATACCAAAGGTGTATCCATTGGAGACATGGAAGCAAGCTATGCTTAAAATATCTGTGGGATGCCAGGGAAACAAAATAAGGAATGATGTGGCAGAACTTATGAAGAGACAATTGCTCCCATGAGGCTGCAGAAACAAGGAAGCAACAGACTAAAGAAGGAATGTAGAAAACAACAATTTCTAATGTCTGCCTGTCAAAATTATAAAAAAGAGTAAAATGCCATCTTGAAAATCAGAAGAAAAAATAAAAGTCTCATTCACAGAAGAATAAAAATCATGGGTCACTAAGAAAAGAGATTTTATCACAGAATTATGAATATATCTATTAGCATCAATTGGCACACTAAGCAGTCCTGTGTGAGATCTCTACATTTTTTACAGCCTATTGCTCTTGGATGCTGATTATAAGGTCATATTTCCCTTTAAACACATAAATATTCCGCACAAAGGAAGCATTCCTTTATGCATATTGGCTTAATATGGTCTAGGTCTTTATTGTTGCTACTACTGCATTGCTGCTATTAGTGTTTTGTTTGTTACCATTGCTGCCTTTCTTTTCAAAAGTTTCTGAAATGTAACATGATTACCACAGCTTTGATCATAGGCATTTGAGTTAATATTGTCTCAAGACCGCTTTTGAAGCAAGACTATTATTGGGAAATAATGAACAGTGAAGGGGTTATCAACTTTTCCTATAATTCAACAGCAAAATTTAGTGCCAGTTTTGCTATTTTATCATGAAGATGATGTTTGAATCAACCTTTATCTGTTAGGCATACATTTCATCTTTTGTATATTTAGCTGAGTAGCCACAATAATATACCAAGAGCATAAAAATGGCTGTACAATGTGTGAAAGAAAATTTGATTTCAGTTTCCTCCTCCTCCTCCCTTTCTTAACTGGAAAGTCTTGATCCAGATAGGGTATCAATCAATCAAATCTTTATTTGGTCACAAACCAGCAAATAGAACACAGAAATCACATTTAATAAAAAAAGAAGTGTGGGTTGTATATGTGTGTATGTGTGCATGTATTTTTCTAAAATTTCTATGGGAGTAATAAGTCAATGATTAAAATAGTGTTATATGTCTGTTCTGAATCATTTTTCCATATACAAATACACAAGGAATGTTAATGTTCTTTTTCTAAAATCTCTTAGATTGTTTTAATATCTGGAAGGTATTATACTGAAGAAGAACAAGCCTATAAGTGAATTGCTGGCAACGTTTATTTATATATTTAATTCAGTTTGATGCTACCTGACTCCAAAATGTTGTTTTTCAGGTTAAAAATAATGGGAAATAACAGACTGCTATCGATCAGTTTTCATCTGGTTTCAAAAAAGTCAGGTCAATCTGATGAATTTATAAAGAGATCATTCATACCTCTTTCCCAATTTGACTTGGAGTCAAAGGAGAAGCATATAAATAAATAATATCTTAATTAAAATATAAATATATCAAACTATAAATATAATTAATAATTATACTATAATAATCCTAAAATCATCACATTGTTGGTTCAAACATACCACATCCTTTTACCTTTTACCTTTTATCCTTTTATCTTTTCTTTTATGTATGCTGAGAGTATTTACACCAAGACAAATTCCTTGTGTGTCCAATCACACTTGGCCAATAAAGTATTCTATTCTATTCTATTCTATTCTATTCTATTCTATTCTATTCTATTCTATTCTATTCTATTCTATTCTATTTTATTCTAAATCAGGTGGGTTTGAAAGTCCAATATGATTTCACCATTTGAACTTTCACAAATTTTTTATAATAAAGATTTGCATGACTCTAACTAAAAAACTCAAATTACATTTTTGCCATTAGAGCATTATTAATTAATGTATAAACCATTTCATTCCAGAGACTCTAGGCAGTGTACGGAGTCAATCTCAGAACAAAGAATGTAGTTTTAAAAACTACAAAAATGGAAATCAATAACAACGGCACATATTCTATTCTGGCTGTTTAATCACCAAAGACCTTCCAGGAAAACTAGATTTTAATTATTGGGACACTGAAAATGAAGACAGTTCTTGTTACGGGGAGAGGATGTTCCAAAGGAAGAAACAGCTACTAGGAATAACTCCTAAAGTTCCCTTTTTGACAAGGCAGAGTTTCCTTGAAATAGGCTATGTCAGAGATGAGCAGACTTCGAGCCATATCTAATTTTGCAGGGAAAAATAAGCAATTTTAATGCATTTAGAAACAAATAACTAATGCGGTTCCCATAGCTGTCATCAAATTCTATCCTTGCTCCTATGGAATATGAATCTATCTTGCTTGTAATCCCAAAGCCATCTTTAAAGTTAGCTATATTTTCTGTAAAGATCTTCTGCAGTTCAGATTTTAACCTTTAGTCCTATGGTATCCTCAGCTCCAGATGATCATGACCTGGATATCCATTTATTCTATGCCTTAATGGTTATCTGAATTATTCAGGAGTCTGCCTTCATGTGCTTTGTTTTTTTCTGTTGTTGAAGTGAGCAGATTGTCTTGTGCTATTTTTAATGGATTTCTTTTTCAAAGCCAGCAATCAAAATATGCTAGGCTTGTTTAGCACATTTTACTTTCTTTCTGAGGGCTAACATTTAAACTTAATTTCTATATCCCTTCTCAAAAATGAAGTGAAATGTTTGCTTCATACTGACCTATATATAAAATTACAAAATGAAGGAAGACAAGGAAGTTTATTTTATTTTATTTTAATTGTTTGTACAAGATAACAAGTATAGGTAGGAATATAAACATGAACAAAGGAAGTAAACACTGATAAATGGTGACAGTAAGACCGGGAAGGTAGGCATGCTGGTGAACTTATGCACACCCCTTTAAGGACCCCTTAAGAATGGAGTGAGGTCCACAGTAGACAGTTTGAGATTGAAGCCGTGAGGATTTGGGGCTGTAACAATGGAGTCAGGTAGAGCATTCCAGGCATTGACCACTCTGTTACTGAAGTCACATTTTCTGCAACCAAGTTTGAAGCAGTTTACCGTGAGTTTGTATTGATTGTTTGCCCGTGTATTATTGTGGTTGAAGCTGAAGAAGTCATTGACAGGCAAGATGTTGTAGCAGACAATTTTGTGTACTATGCTTAGATCAGACCACAAGCAGTGCAGTTCTAGATTGTCCAAACCCAAAATTTCAAGCCTGGAGACATAGGGAATTCTATTGTGAGTAGAGGAGTAGAGTACTCTACTCTTCTCAAATAATTCCCTCAACACTGTTCAACTATTTACAAAATTTACATTACTATTACTGTTAATCTTCTCACCACTCCTTCTCACCCATCCCCTCCCACTTGACTGTTTCCTAGTATGATTTGATTGTTGATTGTACCCTATGACTATCATTAAGTGTTGTACGTTATGATTCTTGATTCTTAATGAATGTACCTTTTCTTTATGTATACTGAGAGTATTTACACCAAGACAAATTCCTTGTGTGTCCAATCACACACGGCCAATAAAGTATTCTATTCTATTCTATTCTATTCTATTCTATTCTATTCTATTCTATTCTATTCTATTCTTCTCAATAAATACCTCTGAACCCGCTCAATCGTGTTAATGTCTGATATACAGTGTGGGTTCCAGGCAGATGAGCGGTATTCAAGAATTGGTTTGGCAAAGGTTTTGTATGCCCTTTTAACAAATCAATGTTACTGGAGAAGAAGCTTCACAAAATAAGGTTAACAACTCTTATTGCCTTTTGGGCAATATTGTTACAGTGAGTTCTGGGGCTTAGATCATTTCAGATAAGTAGTCCTAGGTCCTTGACAGAGTGGGGGTCATCTATGAGATCATTTCTGCCCAACTTGTAATTTGTATTCTGATTTTTATTGCCAATGTATAGGACAGACCATTTGTTAGTTGAAATTTGGAATTTCCAATTACGCGACCATTCTGACACATAGTCAAGGTTGCTTTATAGGGCAGCAGCATTGTCAGTGGTGTTAAATAATTTTATGTTATCGGTGAAGAGGACGAAGCTGCTTTTAATATGATTACAAAAGTCATTGATGTAAAGCAGAAAGAGTGTGGGTCCTAAAATGCTGCCTTGGGGGACACCCTGTTAACTGGTGCTGGATTTGATAAGACCCTCCCTATTTTGACTATTTGTTGCCTCTTTGACAGGAACGCAGCTATCCACTTGGGCAGTGATCCGGAGATGCTGTAAGAGCTTAGTTTCAACAGTAGTTTGTTGTGCAAGTTGCTAAAATGGACATTTCCAAATTAGACTGCTAGGTAGACATATTAATTTCAAACAGCTGTAACCTTAGCATTGCAATCTAAACATTGCACATAGATGTGCATGGGTTCAATGAGATTTATTCCCTGGTACCTAGCTATTGCAGTTTTAAGTAGTGTGTGTTAATGAATGCTTCTTGAAATGTCCTCTGTTCTTAATGTTTTACATCATACTAAAAAGCAAAGCAACAGCCTCTAGCATCTCAATGATTTACAAGAATGCTTCAGGAACAACAGAGACCCTATGGCATTCCACAAAAATTAAAATGGGGAAGGATACAATTTAATTCTTTGCTAGAAAGTCTGATTTTTACTATACAAAAAAGCAGAGTGAGGGCGGAACTGGCGTCGGGATGATACAGCATGTGATCTTGGAGGTCTGAGATCACTGCCAATATCTTTGCTCCTGGATGGTCCAAGTGGATCTAAACCGTCCCAAAGAGACAGTGAATGTAAAGAGCATATCCTGTCAATCCCAGGGATATCACAAAGTCCCTGGTAGATCCAGGAGAAGCTCTTTTTGCCAGAGGCAAAGAGGCAGCCATTAAAGCTGCTGAAGTTGGGACAGCTCCAAAACGAAAGAGAATGGAAAGAGAGAGTGTGCCTGTTTGGTGAGAACTTTTTCTTTATTTTAAAACTTGAAAGGACACCCTAAGGGAAAGAAAGAATCTGTAAAAGTTTTGACAGAAGTAATTAAGCAGCCATTTTAAACAGGAATGTCAAAGTAATATTTTTATATTTTTTTCTTATTGCTGGATTTTCTACAGATGATCTTATATTTTGAAACTGGACTGTTTTTTTTCTCCTCTTTCTATCTCTTCTTTTCTCCTTTTTGACTTTTTAATAATCTAAGCCAGAGACTCCCTTTTAGTTATTTTTTTTAAATATCTTTTTCTTTTTTTAATTAATTCTTATTATATTTTGCTTGGAAAAGGAGGGGGAAAGTGAAAGCTAAAGAAACTTTGTAACACTGCCAACTAGAGGCTTGGAAATATTCTATTGTTCTTTTGACCAGACAAAGCTGAGAAAGAACTGAGACTTTTTTTCAAGGACATTGCCTGTTTGATAAGATAGAGGGAAGAGCATGGGAGAGTATTATTGCAGGTGAGCTTCTGGGTTTCTATCAATAGCTGAAGTCTGGTGTTGAAGCTTAGGAAAAGGAAAGGTGATAAGTCCTTGGAGAAGAGAGCCTTGGATAATTAAACGAAGTGCAGTGTGCTCTTTTTATTCTTTCTAAGCTGTGCTACCCCCCCTCATCAGTTTACTTTTTTTGTAATAGCTATTTGGATTTTTGGCTCTTTGGAACTTGTCTTTGTTTTTTTTTTCTTGTCTGCTTTTTATTTTAAAGGAAAAGCTTTAGTATTAATGTTTCCCTTCCTTTTCTTTTTAAGGGAGTAGCCTTTTTCTTCTCTCTCCCTTCCTGGTATTTTTGTCTTTCCATCTACCCTCTATATTGGGGTGGGTGTGTGTGTGTTATGCATCCTTTTATATTTGAGACCTCTTAATTGGATTACGGTGTTGAAGAACCTGAAGAATCTTTCCTTTCTTTTTTTAGCCTTTTTCTTCACTTTTTTGCCTTTTTTTAGGATTTTACAACTTTTTCTTTTGTGTGTGTGTTCATGGTGTGTTTATGGTCTTTTCCTTCATCTTTGAATTTTTACTGTCATCTAGCCAACCGATTGGATTAAGGTATACAAGAACCTGAAGAAATTTTTTCTTCTTTTTTTATTATTATTACTATTTGGCTTCTTTTTTCCTACTATTTTTATTTGGAACTGCAATTGGTTATTTCACAACTGGATTAAGCTCTAGAAGAACCTGAAGATTTTGAATTCCTCAAAATGAGTAGGAAGTTAACAGCTCCTGGTTCTTCAACTTCTACTTCTTCCTCTCCACCATCTGGAGGACAACATTCAATATAGACAATGTTAAGGCAAGAAAAAGAAAAAGAAAAAGTGACCCTGCAGATGATTATGCAAGGAATTCAAAATATTCAAACAAGATCAGAGAATATTGAAAAGAGAACAGAGAACATTGAACAAAGAACAGTGAAAAAGTGAAAAAGTGGAGAACATCCAACAAATGATGATAAAGTATGATGAGGGACTCCAAAAAATTGAAGAAGAAAAACAAAGAGACAAGAAGATTTGAGACATTGATAACAGATTAACTGTGGTTGAACAAGATAAAAGTGGTATGCTGAGGTGGGAGATGGACAGATCAGAATTTTATCTTAGATTCCAAAACATAGAGGAAGAAAAAGGACAAAATCTAGCTGAGATAATGATAGAAATATTGGCTGAAGCTTTGGAAATAACTGAAGAGATGATGATGGATGGAATAGATGAGGTTTATTGAGTCTTCACAAGATATGCGATGAGAAATTAGCAGAAAAAATTAGAGGTGCTAAACAGAACTACTTTGAAGATGCAGATAAACAAGGTAGATGGTTAGCATATAAATTGAGAAAGGAGAAAGAATCAAGGAAAATATTGCAATTAATAGATGACCAAGGCCAAGTTTGCTATGGTAGTAAAGAGAAGAAGGAAATCATTCAAGACTATTATGGGAAACTATACACACAAGAGAATATTGATGAGGAAAGAGTTAAACAGTATTTACAGAATGCTAATTTACCCCAGATACCTAAAGAGATTTAAACAATGTTAGAAAGCAATATAACGATGATGGAGTTAACTGAAGCACTTAAGAAGCAAAATAATGGAAAGGCACCAGGCCCAGATGGACTTCCAGCAGAATTTTACAAAACGCTACAAGAATCATTGAACTTTCCATTGCTAGAAGTTATAAAGTTATGTTAAAGAAGAAGATACCTAAATCATGGTCAGAAGCTTATATCACACTTGTTCCAAAAGAGGAGACCGATCCATTACAAATCAAGAACTATAGACCTATTTCCCTACTAAACGTAGATTATAAAATCTTTGCTTCAATATTGGCAGAAAGACTTAAAAAATATTTAAATAATTTTATCCATCCTGATCAAAATGGATTTCTGCCAAAGAGACAAATTAAAGACAATATGAGAGTAATCTTGGACACCTTGGAATACTACGAGGCACATCCTGAAAAACAAATGGCTCTGATATTTCTAGATGCACAGAAGGCATTTGATAATGTGAATTGGCGATTCATGTTATTACTGCTGGAACAGATGGGCTTTGCTAGAAAATTTATTCAAGCAATAGAAGCTATATATCATAAGCAGACGGCAAAGATAATGATAGAGGGAGAACTGACAGATTCTATCGATACAAGAAAAGGAACAAGACAAGGGTGCCCACTATCACCTCTGTTGTTTGTGTTAACTTTGGAAGTGCTAAATAGAAATATTAGAGATGAAAAGAATATAAAAGGGATGAAAATTAAAAAGGAAGAATTTAGGTTGCAAGCATTTGCAGATGATCTGGTTTTTATCTTAGAAGACCCACTAGAAACGGCATCAAAATTGATAGAAAAGATAGAGACATATGGAAAGGTGGCTGGTTTGAAAATAAAGACAAGACAAAGATCTTGACAAAGAATATGCTATCAAGACAAAAGGAAGAATTGACAGACCTGTTGAAAATTCAGGTCACGAATAAGATCAAGTACTTGGGGATATACTTGACAGCAAGATGCAGTACATTAAAAGAGAATAATTATATCCAACTTAAACAGCAGATAGCGCTAGACTTGGCGAAATGGGAAAATTTACAACTGTCATTAATAGAGAGAATATCAACAATCAAGATGAATATATAACCCAGAATTTTATATTTGTTTCAAACAATTCCAATTAGGCTTGGAAAAGACTACTTTGAAGATTTAAATAAAATTGTGTTGAAATATATATGGCAAGGCAAGAAAGCGAGAATAAAGTTAAAACTTTTGCAAGATGCTAGAATAGGAGGAGGATTTGGTTTGCCTAATTGGGAGTTGTATTACCAAGCTAGAAATTTGATGTGGGTTAAGGAATGGATAACATTAAGAAATACTAGATTGTTAACTTTAGAAGAACCTGTTTTTGGGTGGCATGCTTTTTTCTGGTATAAAGGAACTAAAATACAGAGGTACTTTAGAAGACATTATATACGGGAGTCTCTGTGGTTAAACTGGGAGAACATTAAAAGACAATGTTATTTGAAAATTCCAGTCTGGCTATCGACTATTGAAGCATTTTCTTATCCTATAATATACAAAAAGGAACAAACAGTTAGATATTGTGAAATATTGAATGAAAAGGGTGAACTTAAATCTATACAAAAACTAGAGGAACAAGGTATAAAGATGAATTGGTTTTCATATGTGCAAATACATTCAAGGTATGACAAAGATTCTAAAACAGAAGGTTTCTATGACAAACTGACTGACTTAGATAAGATTTTGACAGGTACTGATGAAAAGGTGATTTAAAAATTGTATGGATATTTATTAGAAATTAAACTAGAAGAAGAACAAGTTAAAAAAACAATGATTGCTTGAGGGGAAGAATTTTGGATATGGGATTGATCTAGAGAAATGGCAAAAATTGTCATCTCAAAATTATAAAATGACAATGTCAACAGCATATAAAGAAAACTTGTATAAGATGTTTTACAGGTGGCATTTTTTCCCAACAAGAATAGCAAGAATGTTCAAGAATAAATCCGAAAAATGTTGGAAATGTCATCAGACACCTGGCTCACGCTACCATATGTGGTGGATTTGTGTGGATGCTAAAAAATACTGGACTAAAATCCACACATGGTTGGAAAAAATGACAAAAAAACATATAGATTTGAAACCAGAGATATTTTTATTGGGAATTTTACCTGAAATATATACTAAAGACTTGAAATACCTGATTGTAAATGTATTAACAGCGGCTAGGATTGTATTTGCTAAAAACTGGAAAAATGAGAAAATACATCACAGGAGGAAATCATTAAGAAAACATTGGAATGTGCTGAAATAAGTAGATTGACATTTGAAATTAGAGAACAAGATGATAAACAATTTTATAAAATTTGAGAACTATTCTATCAATGGTTAGACAATAAAATATAGTAATGAAATATGTAGACTTTCAGAAAATAATAAATATATAAAGATGTATTCTTTTCTTATTATATCTACAAAATGATTCTAGGATAGATCTGGGATGATAATATGAATTGTCATAAAACAAATTAAGTAAAATATGATCATTTTGTAAAACATGAATGAATAAAAGTATAGTCAAATGATTGATTAATAATGATATTAAAGTATTTAATATCTGATTGAAAATACGAGATTATATACAATGTAGTTATAATTGAAGACAAAATGGAAGCACAAAACTATTTGTAAACCAACTGGCACACTGTATGTACATATATGGAAGATGACTTGATGTTTTTATGTTTGTTTGTTTATGTTTGTTTTAAAAACCAATAAAAATTTAAAAAGAAAAAGAAAAAAGAAAAAAAGAAAAATATAAATATATAAAAAAAAAGCTGAGATAAAATATGCCAGTTCTGACCATATGTCGTAATAAGAGACATTCTCTTTCTTTAGTAAATGCTATACCTGAAGGTGAAGAGGTGATTAACCCTTTAAAGCAGTGATACCCTTATGTGATTTGCTACAGCAACTGCATCTTTTTCAAATTAACACAAAATTCTGGAGGAAACACTCAGAACTGCTGCATAGAATTTAGTTTATGTATCCCTTCCAAATGACTTTCAAAGTGTTTCCATCCCTATTAAAGAGTGAGGATTAGTTCTGAAAGAGAAGGAAATAATTTTCTTTCCATTGTGTCTTGCTGCAGTTCTTAAGCATTACAAGAAGCATAATCCTAGTTGAAAAAGCAGCCATATGCACTATTGGTCTACTATAGCATCACCTATGTGTAACTGGCCACTAATACTAAAGTGTTCTTAGAAATCTATCATGTTATTCTTTCTTTGCTCTTTGCCGTCAACTCAGAGATGATAGTACTCTTATGGACTTGATGGCTATGTCTGTTCTTCAGATTGGAAAATGATACCACCAAAACCTGAAAGATAGGTTTGTCAAGATTCATCTTCCCAAATTGTTTATGTCATATAGCTTTGGTTCTTTCTAGATAGGCAGGAAGATCTATGATTTATTATTTTGTTTCATGGAGAATGAAATATTGAAAATCTGTTAAAAGATCCAGCTGCTTGGGCTTCTCATATTTTTCTGGAATCCTTATTGAAGCTAAATTTATGGATGCTGCTGTCCATTTTAAGTGCTCATTGTATTCTCTGCAGGTGCCGGAGTATACTCCCCATGCTTTCACTAGCTGCTCTCTCCATCCAATTAAGTTAAGAATGTCCAAAGGTAAGTATTTGAGAGGAAAGCTTTTTTTTCCATTTTGGTAATCCATGTTGTAAAATGTTTCCACTATAGCCACATTGTAAATTGACATACTTTGAAATCTATTTCATGTGAGTGCCATTTACATTCTTTGCCATTTTTCAGAGTGACCCCCCAAAACCTCCTAAGCCTGATTTAAGGTATTCCAATTCTATAATACACATTTTTTAAATCTTGTAGCCAGAAATAAGTTGACTAATGTATTCAGAATAGATTACTCTCGGGTGAATGATTATATATGTTTGCAAGTTTAGGCTGGGATTCTGGAATATACCTATATAGGATAAATTCAATTTATACTTATTTATGAATTAATCATTGAACAGGATTTATTTATTTATTTATTTATTTCTCAATTTTCATAGAAAGTATACTGAAGAAATATTTTCCATATAAGATGTGGATGCTTTAATTAATAGCAGATAATTTCTGTATACTTGATGAATGGAATGAAAACATATAATCTAACTCCACAACTGTGCAAGATCATATGTAAAAAAGTTTATCTTCTGTATTTTATGCACTGTCCAATCCCTCCACACAATTTATAATTTACTAACAACCCTAAATACTCATCTGCTGTATTTTTAGTACCTCTAAGGGAGAACTAACACTTTCTTTTAAATTGAAAAATTTCAGTCTGAATATATATGACCTTAAAACCACTCAGTTTGATATATGGCATTAAAACCACTTGGTTCAAAAAGCAAACTGTATCAACTAAGCTTGAATGGATATGTTTATGCAATTTAATCAGTCCTTGAATAAGATTTAAGAAGATGTTATAACTTTGGAAATACATTCTGATGAAACAAAAGGGACTTGACCTTTAATAAATATGAAAAACCTTTGATAGCAGAGCAGAATTAAGTTTTTCTGGAACTTGTTAAATTGAAAACAATATTATCTTACAGGTATCATAAGATAAAATTTGTTTCAAGATTAAATTTGGGCTAACTCATATTTTCTTTGCTTGCTTTGCTTACACACCATTTGTCTGTAATCATTTTAGTTAATACTAGATTAATTTGTTTGTGTTCACAAAATTCAGAGAATGACACTGGCGACTTTCTGCACAAAAATGGTTATAAAGGAAATTAAATTATTCCAAAGAACTAAATGTGTTATAACGTATTGAATTAAACCGGAATGCAAATTCAAACAAACAAGCTTACAGTATTTTTTGAAGCAAAAGAAGCTACTTTGTAGGGAAAGAGTTATTAAAAAGTAAATATTTACTCTATACTGAGGAACTAAGCAAATATGCACTTGACTTGTTACAGCTATCCTGGTTAACTATTTCAAAATATGACTTAATAAATTTAACATAGCAGAAATATTTTTGATTATAAACCTGTACTAAAATATACATCCTAATAGTACTCTTTCTTCCATCCTTGGTCTCCAAACTCTGATGAAAACATAAAAGCAGTTTCAATTTTCCTGTGCTTGCTCACACATATGTTTGCATGTGTGCTGAGTATATGTTGTCCAAGGTTTTTGATCACATGTGTGGAAAGGGAACTTCATGAGGACAGTGGTGACACCCAAGCAGGAAAAGCCCAAAGGGAACATCAGGCCAGCCATAAAACAAACTTGCATAGGAAAAGAGATTTAATAAAAGGTATTGAAAGAAGCCCCCTAGATAAAAGCCAAGTAATTAAGAAAGCTAGGGAAACAAGAAAAAGAAATCCCTTATGTCGTATATCTCATACGCACAAAGGACGCGAGTCGGTGACTTGGCTCAGCTCTTTATTAGGGTATAACACAAGTGGGGGAAATGGGGAAGAAGCGCGGCTTAAAAACTCTCTCTGCTGAGTGCTGCGGCCAATCGGGTCGTTTTGAATCGCCCGCGATCGGCTCAGCCAATCGCGGTCGATTCCGAACGACCAATCAGTGCCGCGCACTCAGCCAATCCGGTGGCCGTGCGCTTTAGCCAATCTGGGCTGCCGGATTTCGAGTATTCAAATGTCTGTACAGAACACCCCTCCCCTCTTGGTTTGGTCCTACGTAACGTAGTCCCGTAAGTAGGCGGGGCTCCGTATTTTCCGACTTGACTTGCGCTGGTCAGTTGTCTCTTGGCTGTCGGCCGGTTCGGGTGGGACTCCTGTCGCTCTCCGCCTCGTTGATGGAACCGCCTGGAAGGGTGAGTCAGGCCTCTCGCCGCGGCTCCCTCCTGGTCTCCCCGGGTTGGTCGAGCTGCTGGCTTCGCTGCTCCCGCTCGGCTTTTCCGGGCTGGTTGAGCTGGCTTGGCTGCTCCCGCTCGGGCTTCCGGGGCCGGTTGAGCTGGCTCGGCTGCTCCTTCCAGGCGAGGCTTCGAGTGGGTCGCTCTCCGGTTCTTCAGGTGGTGAGTACTGCTGGTTTCTTCTTGGGTGGGTTTGTTCTTTTTGTTCTTTGGGGTCTTCCCTCCCCTCTTGGTTGGTGTTTTGCCGGTTCCTTTCAATGTCTGGTGTTTGCGTGTCGGTTGTATTTCCCGCGGTGGTTCTTGATCTCAATTGGTCGATGTGGCGTTTCCACGCTCGTCCGTCGGTAGTTTGAAGGCGGTACGAGTGTGGGCCTGTTGCTTGGGTGATCGTTGCCGGTATCCAGAGGGGGTCCCCGGTAAGGTTTTTTGCGTAGACCCTGTCTCCCGGTGCGAATGTTCTGTGTTTGCTGGTGGAGTCAGGGGGTCTTTCTGGGTTGTATGTGGGGTGCAGGCGGTCGAGCGGTGATCGCAGTTTCCTCCCCATTAGTAGCTCCGCTGGGCTCTTGTTCGTCGTAGTGCTCGGGGTTATGTGCTGAATTAGTAGCATCCGGTTTATTTTGTCTTGTATGTCCCCGGTTTCAATCTTTTGGATGGTCTTTTTTGTGAATTGGACCATTTTCTCCGCCCTTCCGTTCGCCGCCGGGTGCGCCGGTGCCGTTAGTGCATGTCGGATCCCTCGTTCTGCCAAGAATTTCTCGAAGGGTAGCGCGGTGAACTGGGGGCCGTTGTCTGACACGATGACATCGGGAAGGCCGTGGGTTGCGAAGAGCTTACTGAGTTCTCTGATGACGGCGTCTGTGGTAGTTGTCTTCATGTTACTTACCTCCAGCCAGTTGGAGTAAGCGTCTACGGTTACCAGGAAGGTGTGTCCTCTGGTTGGTCCCGCGAAATCTACGTGGATTCGGGACCAAGGCCCCCGAGGGGTTTCCCATTCCAGGATCGGGGCGGCGGGGGGGTTTGGTCTTGATTCCTGGCACTGCTTGCAGGAGGCCACCCAGGCTTCGATCTCCTTGTCCATCCCTGGCCACCAGGCGTGACTTCTGGCCAGGGCTTTTGTCCTAACGATGCCGGGGTGCCCCTCGTGCAGCATGCTCAGGACTTCTTTTTGTAATTTTTCTGGGACTATGACTCTATCCCCCCACAGTAGACAGCCTTTCTGCGTTGATAGCTCTGTTTGTCGGTTCCGGTAAGCTTTGAACTCGTTGTCCACGTCCTTCTCCGGCCACCCTTTTCCCACCCATCTTAGGACCTGCGCCAGACGTTTGTCTTTATTGGTTGCTAGAGCAATGTCTGACGCGGTCAGGGGTAGGTTGGGTAAGGTCTCGATGCTCAGGGTGGATGTGGTGGGTGCTGGGTCAGCGTCCATGGTGGGCAAAGGTGTGCGGCTGAGGGCATCTGCGTGCGGGATTGACTTACCGGGGCGGTGGATTAGCCGGTAATTGTAGGCGGCGAGAAATTCGGACCACCTTGTCATTCTTGGGGAGAGGATGATTGGGGTGGCCCGGTCTCCCGCCAGTATTCCCAGCAGCGGTTTGTGGTCCGTGATTATGGAGAAGGTCCTGCCGTAAAGGTATTCGTGGAATTTCTTTACGGCTGCAACGATTGCTAGAGCCTCTTTGTCCAATTGGCTGTAGTTTCTTTCGGGTTTTGAAAGGGTCCTTGAGAAAAAAGCGATGGGTGCTTCTTTCCGGTCGGCGAGGGTGTGGCTGAGGGAGGCTCCTACGCCGAAGGGTGATGCGTCGCACGTTACCGTGATGGGGAGTGTTTCGCTGTACTGGATGAGGACAGCGTCCGATGTGAGAAGGTCCTTGGTTTTGTTGAAAGCGTCCTCTTCTCGTCTCCCCCACGTCCAGGTGGCTGCCTTGTCGAGCAGCCTATGCAACGGTTCTGCCACGGTCGCCTTTTGGGGCAGGAAAACATTGTAGAAATTAATCAACCCCAGGAACGCTTGTAACTCAGTTTTATTTGTGGGTTTCGGGGCTTCTTTGACGGCTTTTATTTTGCCCTTGGTGGGGTGGATTCCGTGCTGATCTAGTAGGTACCCCAGGAATTCGACCCGTGCCGTGCGCAGTTGGCATTTCTCCCTCTTAACTTTTAGTCCTGCACTTTGGAATCTTTGCAGCACTTCCCTTAGGCGGCCCTCCAATTGTTTCTGGTCGGCCGCGGCTACCAACACGTCGTCAAAATAGGGTACTACCCCTTTTATGCCCCGGAGGAGCCTCTCCATTAGGCTTTGAAATACCCCCGGGGCTACGCTGACTCCGAATTGGAGCCTCTTGCAGCGGAATGCCCCTCGGTGTGTGACTATGGTCTGCACTTCTGCGGTTTCCTCGTCGACCGGCAGTTGCTGGTAGGCTTGGGCCAGGTCGAGTTTGGCGAAAACCCTGCCCCCCCCAGTGAGTGTAGAAGGTGTTGCACTACTGGGACGGGGTAGGCGCTTTGTTGTAGCGCGCGGTTCAGGGTGGCCTTATAGTCCCCGCAGATTCTCACCGACCCATCTGGCTTTATCGGGGTGACTATAGGGGTCTCCTATCGGGCATGGTCCGTTGGCTCGAGGACTCCCTGTTCGATGAGCTTATTTAATTGCTCATCGATTTTGGGGCGGAGGGCAAAAGGCACTCGCCGGGGTTTGAGGCGGATAGGGGCAATGGTGGGGTCAAGGCTGAACAATATTGGGGGCCCCCGGTACTTGCCTAGGTTTCCGTCGAAGACTTCTTGGAACTCGCGCACGAGCTGCTCCTCCCAGTCCGCCTCGGCGACGTGGTTGGTGCCGGTCACTTCTAGTCCCAACGGCGCGAACCATTGAAGTCCCAGGAGGCTGGGGCGGTCTCGTTCGACGATGGTTAGGGGTAGTATTTCGGTGCGCCCTTTAAATGTGACCTTGAAGTGCCCGATCCCTACCACGGGGATGCGATTCCCTTGGTAGTCTTTAAGGATGAGCTTCTGGCTCTCCAGCTCGTGCCGTCTCATGGATGGTACTAGCCTCTTAATTTCCCGCCACGCGACCATGGATAGGTAAGATCCGGAGTCGACTTCCATTTTGCAGGGGCGGTCTTCGATGGCGACTTCCACGTGGACCTTCCGGCCCTCCCAGTTGGAGGAATGGCCAACGATGACCGTCTGGTGCGTTTCCTCGCGCGGGCGGTTTTCGTTGAAACGGCGGCTCCTTGCTTCCCGGCTCCAACGGCTCTCACTATCCCGGTCGCGGTTCCTTGGGGGGGTGTTGTCGCATCTGGCATTGTCGCGCCTCCGTGGGCTGCCGTCTCGGTGGCGGGGGCTGTGGTTCCGTTTGAAACGGCAGACCTTGGCGATGTGGCCCCGCTTGTCGCAATGCCGGCATATTGCATCAAAGAACCGGCATTCCGACCTCGGGTGTTCGCCGCCACAGCCGGCGCACTGGAACTTTGATTTTCGGTTCCGTTGCTCGCGCCGGTCGCGTCCCGTCTGCAGTCGGTGGATGTCCTCCTCGTTGTCCTCTGAGTCGGAGGGGGATTCGAGATCGCCGTGATGTGTGGAGGCAGTTGCTCGATGGTCGAATCCGGACTGGTTCTCGGGGGTCGCGGTCGCTTCGGTCATGGCGGGTCGCTCTGCTGTGCCGGCTTGCCGCAATTGGGCCGCTGATTTCCGGGTCGCTTCTGCTGCGGTGGCTTCAGCAAGGGCGTCAGCGAGGGAGATGTCGCCCTTTGCCATGATCCGGCTCTGCAGGACGGGGTCCCGGAGGCCGAGGACGACGCGGTCCCGCAGGGCTTCATCGAGATCGGTGAACCCGCACAGGCCCCCGAGGTCTCTGAGGTCGGCCACAAAGTTGCTGACGCTCTCCCCTTGCTTCTGATCGCGGCGGTAGAATTCGTGCCGGCGGATAAGGGTGGGCACGGCGGGTGCGTAGTGGCTCCTCAGCAGCGGTTCGAGATCAGCCCAGTCCATGGCCTTTACATCGAGCGGCTTGGCGAGGGCTTTTGCCATTTTAAACACTGCGGGCCCGCAGTGTGTGAGGAAGACGGCCCTTTTCCTCTGCCCATTCACGTCCTTGAGGTTGCTACTCTCCAGGAACATGAGGAATCGGTCTATGTACGATACCCAATCCTCCGTAGCTTGGTTGAAGGGAGCGGGTGGCACGTTGCCGCTGGCCATGCTGCCGGTTGCGGTTCCGTGGGCCACGTGCGGTGTGGGACTTGTTTTAAAATCCCACCTTCGTCGCCAGTGTCGTATATCTCATACGCACAAAGGACGCGAGTCGGTGACTTGGCTCAGCTCTTTATTAGGGTATAACACAAGTGGGGGAAATGGGGAAGAAGCGCGGCTTAAAAACTCTCTCTGCTGAGTGCTGCGGCCAATCGGGTCGTTTTGAATCGCCCGCGATCGGCTCAGCCAATCGCGGTCGATTCCGAACGACCAATCAGTGCCGCGCACTCAGCCAATCCGGTGGCCGTGCGCTTTAGCCAATCCGGGCTGCCGGATTTCAAGTATTCAAATGTCTGTACAGAACACCTTACAAACAACAGGTCCTGCCAAATCAGCAAAACAGATAGACAAAAGACAAGAAATAAATTCCATAGCAGACAGGAGATTGCCACCAAACAAATATAAGAAAACATTAGAATGAAACTGATAATCCAATCAAACCACCCCGTGGAGTTTACCCTCCAGCGGAAATGAAGACAACCCCCGACAGGATTTAAAACATTAAGAAATACAAACACAAGCACACACACACAAAAGGAGAAAAAGGTATAAAAATCAGGGGTTTATTATACAAAGATGGCTAGCCCCTTGCTATCTCTTGCCTTCCTGAAAAATAAACCAGCTTCCAAGCAGTTGTCTGTGTCCTTGCACTGGAGTTCTCCCAGCAGGAAAAGTGAGTCCTCAGAAGAAAGGCATTTTCCAGCCTTTCAACACATGTACAGCATCTGTATCTAACAAGATTAGTCACATAAAGTCTGCTCTGATATTCCAGTCAGTGTGTAAAAATTGGAGTTAGTTAATTAGCAGACCTACTTCATGAATTCAAAGAACTGGAAGAAGAGAGATTGCATTACTATTACCATTTTCTTTGCTGGAATGTGAGCTAATAATAATTATTCAAAAGAAATCATATTCCTGGTGCTTAGAACTCTAAATTGTAAATACAAAGTGCCAGTTTTACTCTTGAAAATAAACAGACAAAACTATCCTATGAGATCTCCAAGAGGACTGTGAAAGAGATGGGCACATGTTGATACTTGATGTATTTACAAAGCTTACCTGGTTGGATTTTGTATTTTACTACCAAATAGCAAAGGATTAATAGTTTATTTTTTTCCCTTTAAGGAGAAGGCTAGTCTCACTTGTTTCCCCAAAGCTTCTTTGGCTTTCTATGAAATTGAATATGGTCTTCTCTCTCTTATGGTCATTATCCAAACTCCTTTGTAATTTCAATGTAGCCTATCTAGCCATCTCTCATATTTCAATTAAAATAAGTTGTCTACACCATTCTTTTGATATTTTATTTGTGTCTCTCTGTTGTTTTTCAAACAATCCTCCAGCTCAATTTGTAAATTCAATATTTCTATCTCTTTCTTGTAAGTCATTATTTATCATTTTATTTAGAGAATTCTCTTTAACATTTTTTTTATTCCCTTCAGCAATATAGGTTAAGTTATTCACATAGTTTTGAGGTCCCAGATCCTAAATTTCCTTCAAGATAATCCTTTGGTGTTTCCTAGTGGTTAACTTCAAAGCCTTCCTATCAGCAACTTGTAAACACAGAAACTCTTTCCCCCAGGAGAGGATTTTTTTTTTATTTAACTTTCATGATTTTTTCTTAAATCAGTTTCATCCAAATTCTTAACATTTAAACACTAAAACAGCATTGTACTCAACTTTTTGCTTTTACTCAACTACAGTGTATTACAAAAAATTAGAAACTTGTTATACAATACAAAACTTGCAAAGCTGAAAATGCAAATTGAAAAACTGAATTGAAAAACTTTTTTCTTTTAAAACAGTTTAAAGCAGGACCCTCCCAATGACTGTAAAGCTTGCAAATCCTGAAGGGTTTTCAATCTTAAGAAGGCAATAAAAAGAAAATTGAACTTCAAGGTTAAAAATGTTGAAGCCACGTCAAATTCTGGGTTCTTAAAAAAAAGCTATATTAACAGCTAAGAACATGACAAAATCTAAAATTCCCATGTGACCACAAGTGGCTTCATTTATGCTGTCAACTAACCAAACCAAACCAAACCAAACAAAACAAAACCCACATCTGTCCAGAATGCAGGAGGATGATCTCAAGATTTATTCTCATTCCAGAGAGAATTAGCAGTCTGGATCTTATATCTAGTTGCTTTCTGGTTGCAATGTCTTCTGCAAAATATGGACTGTCTGTTTGCCCACCTCACTGAAAACGTTCTCCACAAGCTGGACAGCCTTTCTTTCTATCTCTTTCTTGTAAGTCATTATTTATCATTTTATTTAGAGAATTCTCTTTAACATTTTTTTTATTCCCTTCAGCAATATAGGTTAATTTTGCCTATCCCACATAACAAAATTACAAACTGCTCCCACCTCTGAAAAAGGCTTGTTGCTTGAAAACCAAAATTCCCATTTTCCCTAAAAGTTATTGCCAAAAATGGAAGATGGCAAGGCATAATATGTTGGGAATTAGTCTCCATGTCTGATGATCAGTGGCTGGGAAAGGGGTTCCAGTCAACATAACACTGCAATATAATGTGATATAATGTAATGAACAGCTTTTGAGAGAAATGGTCTATGTACAAACTCCTTTTAGAAACTTTCAGAAATTGTGCTATGTTTTATCAAGTGCTTTCCCCAAAAGAAAAAGAAATGATTATTAATTCTCCCCAGTCTGCAAATATAAAAACCAACTGTTAAAATCAAACAATTTTCCATTTCTTACTAAGTAGAACTCTATGTGGTTTATACAACCACATACAAAAATTTGTAGTTCTTATGTATAAAAAATAAAAATAAAAATATATTCAGTAATGAAGAACAGAGAGACATCAGTAAAAGGAAAAAGAAAAGGCAATGCTAATGCATTGATAAAAAATATTTTAATTTTACTTGATAAGCTATGTAGCAGAACAACTCTTCACTGGACTGTGAAATATGAATTGACAGAGAAGTTAACTTTCCTCCAAGCAAGTTAACAAATATAGCTTTAACCCGATTTTTCATAACTTTAAAGAAGTATCAGAAATCTTCCTACATCCCAACTTCAGCTGTTAATAAAAAAGTTTGCACTTTCATAAACCCCAAGGAGCTTAGAGAATCTATATAATTTCCCCAAATAATACCTGAAGAAATTTCAGGGAGAATAAAAGAAAGCCTACATTTGTGTCCAGCAGTTAAAAATATGAAACTCTTGTATAGTTTTTAAAGCTGTTTGGTAAAATCTGTTCCTTTGGACTTTTACTGTGAATTTAATTTGCCTTTGTGAGTTTAAAGCAGATATTCTCTCCCTCTCTCTCTTTCTCTCTCCCGCTCCCTCCTTCCCTCCCTCCCTCTGTGTGTGTGTGTGTTTTCACACAGATTTAGTGATGGAACTTTACTGAGGCTATCAATGACAAATAGAAAGCCAGAATCACCTTGAGGCAATGGAAGTGCCATGTTATTCTCCTAAATAACTGTCACTAATTTAAAAAGGAACCCTCTACAGATTACCAGGTTGAACAAAGCATCAAAGTAGAAAGTGCCCCAGGCAAATTCTAGGAGGTTGTCAAGAGAAGTTCCTGGAAAAATTGAACAAATAAGCACAAATTTTGTAGTCTTCAAGGGGCTATGACAGATTAAAGTTCACCAGCATAGTCTACTGGTAACTGAAGAATTCAGTGATATTATTAGATAGGATATTTTCTCTTTTAGTTGTTGATTTATGAACTAAACAGCTGGTTTTATTCATTCCTGGGAATTAAAAATGATCTGTTGATTTATTATTAACTGCTAATATTTCTGCTGTCCTCCTGTGGTACTGCTGACCCAGGTCCTGCTGCACTGTCTTATCATTGTAAGGAGTGTTTCCTGAAGGGAAGAAAGGAATCAAGTGAGAATTCTAACTGCCCAGTGAAAGCCAGCAGGCACTATTTTGGGAATCAGCAAAATAGGAAGATTATGTGGGTGGATGATCATTTTACTGATAATGATAAAAGTATAATTTGTTACTACAAGCACCTAGGTCTCAGGCTGAAAGATACTCAAGACATTATTGAACAGCTGAGGCTTTTTCAGAATATTAATAGTGTTGATGATATAGCCAGATTAAAGTCTTCAGGATGTTGTCATAAAGGAAAAGATAATTCAAATCTGCAAAGACAGAATTACAGAGGAAACATGAAATATAAGAAACGTGAACATGGGAAAGCTCAACAAAGTGAGAAATAAAATAAATGCAAGAGAGAGAGAGATTACTTTCATAGTCAGAAAGAATATATAGTCAATATAGTGCTTAGATAAAATGCAGTCAATCTTTTTCTGAGATTTTATCAAGTTTATGCCCCAACCATTAATGCAGAAGAAAAGGAGTTGTGTGGGTTTTATGATTGAGTTCAATATGAAATCAACAGAACATGTGAGTACTATGTGCTGCTTATGATTGAAGATTGGAATGCCAAAATTGGAAATAATAAGGAAGAAAAGGTGGACCATCTGGCCTGAAACACAAATGAAGCAGGAGAATGATTTATCCATTTCTGCCAGTCCAATTATTTCTTCATTGCTAACACATTCTCAGAAAACCAAATTGAAGCCTTTATCACCAGATGGAGTATACAGAAATTAAAATGACTATATAATTGGGCAGAGGCAGCATAGAAACAGATAAAAAAAACTACTCAAGTGCAAGTTAAAGCAAAAGACCAAAGCCAGCCAGTTTCCACAATATAATCTTGAACATATAATGGCCATTTTCAAGGGGAATAGCAGAAATCTCTTTGAAGTCCTGAACCTCATTGGTAGGGGGTTAAAAAAAACAGTGGAATAAATCAAATTATTAAGGATCAATGTGAAAAGAGATCAAGAAATGGAAGAAAGTAAACTGGATGTCAGCACAGAATGGAAATTGCTGAGACTGAAGAATGGAAAAAGTCAAGACAAACAAAGATCTCAGAAAGAACCTTAACAAAGAATTTAACATAGATGTTAGCAGAGAAAAGAAGCATTATAAAGAATCAGAAACAGACACAGAAAACAAGGAAACTTCCAGAAGGTTTCTGAACTCAGAAAGAAATGTTGACCTTACATTAGTGTGCTACAGGACAAGAATTAATAATTTATTCAAACATGATCAAACAAAACTGGAAATAATCTTCTGAAATTCTGTAAAGTAGAAATGTAGAAATTCTGTAAAATAGAAATCCAACCCATATAAGAAAATATTTCTTATTTACTAGAGTCTCTGGCATTAGAAAATGAAGTTAGATTTTTTAAAAACAAACTTTAGTACCTACCAAATTGGAGGACCACAGGAATTGATGAAATATCTAAAGAAATGTGACAAGCACAAGAAGAAGAATCAAGAAAGAAACCAACTAAATTTTGTCAATATGTCTGGAAAAATGATACAGTAATCAATAGATTGGAAGAGGTCAATCTACATACCAAAGAAAGGAGACTTAACTAAATGTGGAAACTATCACACCATGTCTTTAATTTCAAATGCTACAAAATCATGCTTAGGATCATTCAACACTGATTGAAACCTTACATGGAAAGGGGAAAATGCCAAATGTTTAAGCTGGTTTTAGAAAAAGTTGGAGAACATGAGACATTATTACTAATAGATGCTGGATAATTGAGAAAGCCAAATGATACAAAAAGAAATATAGTCCCTATGTTTTGAGACATCATATACTTTGGGCTGTTTTTCAACAGTAAAATTTAATTGTTAATCATAATACAACAGCAAATGCATCTGCAAGGGGTTAACTAGAGGACAGGTGAAATTATGTGCATCATAACCTAATTGTGCAAATCATTCAATTACTTCCTTCATTTTGTGGAGACCAAATAACGCAAGGAAGTAATTTGTGTAATTTGTACAATGTCATAAGGTTGTACACTGTGATTTTGGCATCATTTTACCTTTCACAAAATACAATAGGATAACCAATTTAATATGCCAATAGAGAAGGTATTGCTACTTTTACTTTAAGGTTACAAGATTAATAATTTAATGTGCAGGAGAACTAAGTGTTCAATAATAAAATTGCTTTCAGCAGATTTTAAAATCTCAGGGGGAAAAAACCCTCAAATCTAAAATTTAGCCACTTTTGTTGTTGATCATATAGGTTAAGATTTTTTAAAAAAACAAACAAACAGAGCCAAGAAGTTTTGTGTTACACCAGAATAAGAGTAACCACCAATGCATTTTCTTCTAAAAGTAATTTCCAGTATGAAGGCCAATATTGTAGAAAACAGAAATAGCCTACTTCTCTTTGCTGCATAGAATGTCCTGAAAATTAAAGTAAAACTGTATTGATGGTCAACATGAGTCAGGCTGTTAGGGCAATTGATTATTTTTCATCTCAGTTGTTGGGAAATTATTAGCATGCATCCTGTTAGGCATTGCCCAGATAGTCATGATATTCAGAATTTAAATGGAAGAGACTGAAGAGGTTCTGTCTAGCCGAATCTGTTTCAATTGCAAATAATTTTTTTCCCTTCTAAAATATGTGAGCAAATCTGTTCTTGTGTGGAAAGGTCACATATGACTAATAATAGGATGGCAAGACAGATGACAGCAGTTTTCAAGATGTAATTAAGATGGAGAATTTTGAGAGGCCTGTGGTATTTTGCTATTCCCCCACTGTAGATGATAAACTCAATTGGCTGCTCACGTATCATTTTAATATCACATTAGAAACTATCACGGTTTATTTTGGGGGATGGAAATTGTTTTCTGGATGGAGGGGGAGAAAACTAATATTTTATAACACACTTGTATCTCTAAAAGGAATCTGTGGAAAATATAATTTGAATTTATCATTTTCCATGACATTTTTTGGTTGTATCCCAACTTTTCAATAGTTTTAACTAATATGATTTCTTAGACCAATACATCTGCAGATAATCCCACCATTTTTCATTTTAACCATTTGTTAAGTAATACATTTCTATTAAAAATTTTCATTAAGGCAACAAATAATCCCTATAACCATAGCCATATTGCTTTCCTCTTTTGCTATCTTTTTCCAGTATTGAAATGCTACCACTTGCACATTTGTTGCCATCCACTATTATAATTTTGTTCATTTACACTGGAATGAAGAGATAAGTTATTTTTATTTTAAACTTGGGGGAACTAGTAAGGCTGAAGTGTTAATATTTGAACTTAAAGCAGACTGAAATTGATGGGAACAAATGGAACCAGCTCTCTAATGAACAATTACGCTGCTGTTCATTAAGTTGACTATCACCCTAATTAAAGGCATCATCAAATGCATCTCAGTTTTGCTCACCAAGAAAATGATAAGTGAAAGGCATTTATTTATCCCAGTGTTCTGACATTCTCTTTCAAGCCTGTAACATTACTCATCAGAGGCAGTAAGTCCTCAAGCAAGATTTATCAGAATAGTCATCATGTTTGGTGACCGCTGGAGAAACAGGAGACAAGATAGTGGAAGATCAAAGACCTGCCCTGTGATTCATGTTAAAGGGGGATGGGATATAAATCACATGGTTTTGGTTTTGGCTTCCATTTTGACTTTTTTTCCCTTCCCACTTTGTGGACACTGATCCTAAGAGGTGAAAATATTCACATTAGCAACAATTTCCACAATATGAAGCTGAGCTCCAAGAGAAGGAATGGGACAACTTGCCATAGCCAACTTGCTGTGGTCAACTCACCATGGCCAACTCACCATGGCCAATTTGCTGTAGGACAATTCACCGTGGCTAGCTCACTGTGGGACAATTTAACAAGTTTATTTAATTATTTAAAATAAATAAAATTTTAATTTTTGCCATTCACATTTCATTCTGCCCCTCCTTTTGCATCCTTTCTTTAATTATTCTATTCCACCATTTCTTTGTTATTAGTGTAACTCTTGTCCTGCAGCAAGTTGTCCTGTGGTGAGATGGCCATGGGAAGTTGTCCTGCAGCGAGTTGGCCATGGGAAGTTGGCTGTGGTGAGTTAGCCGTGGTGAGTTGGTCATGGCAAATTGTCATAAATCCCAAGAGAATGACTTTTAAAAAGAGAACGAAAAGCCCACATTATAGCTGAATGATGGCATGAAGAGCAAAAGAGGCCAATACATTATGCCTTCTTTTAAGAGGGAATAGGTATTCAATATTTTTAGGGTTGCAAACAACTTGGAGACAATTTCTTTTAAACCCAAACAGGCTTCCACAAGCAAAGGTGGAACCCTTATTAAAACTTACTACAAGATTTACTCCTAGAATATGCACATCAAAACATTTTATTCTCAATTTATGCCCGCATGAATTCAAATTGGACAGTTATGGATCTGTAAATTTTGACTGCCTCTTGGATATATAGACAAAAATGTTAATTCTTCAAATAAGTAGCATATTTATTTTTTTTAACTGCCTAGTTAACTGAAACCAATAGGTTTATTCCTAAGAGGAGACGTCACACAAACTGATTTATCTTTTTATGGGACTGCAGCAAACTTTGACACCCTCTGAGATAATCAATTTTTGCTCAGGAAATTTCTCTCTACTTCACTGCAGTCAGATGGATGGGATGAGATTGGTTTTGCTTAAGACTAGCGAAGGATGCTTCTTATCCTGGTAAATTTACCAACTTGATAGAGAATAAAGTGACATAATATGTATCTGATTTGTCTTGCAATAAAAGGAACCCCAACTGCTGTGAAAGGAATTAGAATTGTGCTATGCTTCTAATTGTGACTAAACAGAAGTTGCATTGGAAAGTTTAATTCCGTAAGCAATTTTCAGACCATTTTCTGTAAGGAAGGGGAAGTTGTCAATTGGGTTGATCTTATAACCTGGGGTACAATCATTCAATCATACAATCTCAGACATGAGAAAAACTAGAGATAAATTCAAATTTTTCTAATATCACTTTTGTACCATACACGAATTTATTTTTGAGAACCAGCCACTAGCATCTCTACTTTTTTTTCTACTCCACAATCCCAAGCAAGATACCCCAACCTTATTAATAAATAACTATTAATTGGGAAACATGCATTCTTACCCCAACACTGCTTCCCTCTGCCTAGTTAACTGAAACCAATAGGTTTCAGATGGACTTAAGAGCTCAATCTAACATTACCATAGACAGTTAGCTTTAAAATAACTACAAACATAGCTTTGTGTGTGATTGCTTGATGCAGGCTATAATAATAACAGCATAAAGTACTACTATACCTACTTAGACTGTAGGAACTCATGACTTCTGTCTGTTCTCCTTCACTTTGCAGCTTCCTGATTATGCCTCACAGTGAACCAAGCAATATCAGTTTTTTTACTCCTAGGAGTAAGTACTATATTATCTCTGCCAAAAAGGGTAGCTATTTTTTTATAACTCTTTATTTCTAGAATTTATATCCTTCCACAATCTTGTGATTCTTAACAGAATTTTTAGTAGTATGCAAAATATGAAAAGGGACATATCTACAGTAAGATTTAAAAAAAAACATAAATGAAGAAGGTTCATCACAAGAAATAACCAACAAGCACATTATGGTCAGTGGTTATTTTTTTAAAAAGCTAACAGAAAATTGGTCTCCATTAGATTGGAGAATATTGAATTTTCCTGTGATTTTATATTGATCTGCATTACTTGTAGCCATCTTTTTTTGCAAACAAAAGAGTTCTTTATGAAAATGTTTTCTGAACTGAGCAGCTGGGAAATTAGGGTAACAATGGGTCATATTGTTGTAAATTGAGGGGACTTTAAAGGGATACCTATATGTTACTTCTTGGAAGTTTAGATACCTTTCAAAGAAGCGTCATCAAGTATTTTTCCTTATTTTCCCCACATCCATTTTTTTCTCCATCCAGCACCTTAGTCTGCAGAAGATATTTAAAATCCAGCAGGGAATGCTAAAGATGTCACATATCCAGCAGAGATGAGGATTAATTGCAGCAAGTAAGATATATCATGGTTACATTAACTGCTGTGTTTACCCCATAAATTATTTCCTGTTGTTAGTTAAATATATAATTTGAGAATGAACAAGCATCTTCACTGAAATAGTAAAAGAGAAGAAGGGAGAACAAAACATTAAAGAGAAAAAGAAATGGATGGTTCAACAAGCAAGATATGATACCAGAAATAGATGAAAGCAACTAATACAATAAAATAATGCTTCTTCAAACTTCATTTACAAAATTCTTTCTACCTAACAGGAGTTAAGTCATTTCTCCTCTCATTAAACTTAGTTAATTTACTCTCTCCTCTCATTTCACCCAAAGTATCATTGTTAAAGGATGACTCTTATAAGAGAGGAATAGTTCCGCACTTTGCCAAGAATAGTCCTTGTTCAGCATTGACCAATCAAGCTCATCGGCTATATAATGGATTAATATGTTATTTGGAACATCTATCAACAAAATATGCTAGTACTCAAAGGTTCTCTCTACATGACTTTATAGATTTGAAGATAACTTCCAGATCATCTGCATTGTTTATGCTTGCCCCATCAAATAGGCATAGAGGCATAGACAGGGCATGCTCCAGGACCTTTTTGTCAAACAATGTTGTCTTAATGATTGTCAAATTCCTACTGTAGACATAATCAATTCAGTGCATTCTGGGCCTAGAAAGAGTTTGAGTGAAAATAATTTTGATATGCAAAGGGACAAAGTTATCACTCTATACCAGTGGTGGCATTCGACCGGTTCTCCCTGGTTCTGGAGAGCCAGTAGCGGCGATGAGCAGCGGAGAAAGAACCGGTTCAATGAAGTTTCCAGGAAAGTGGCTGAATTTTCTGTTCTAGCTCTTAACATCAGAAGCCACTGGATGTAATTTAAATTTTTGTATTGTAAAATCTGTAATTGGTTAGTTTCAGTTATTGTGCAAACTCCTCTCTTTTTCCCCTTTGTCTTTTTAAATGTAATCAGTATTTTTTATTGTTATTATTTTGTATTTGTATTACAATCTGGACTCTCTGTATATTATTTTAAGTTGCTGACCTTTGGCTGTACTAAAGCATCTCAGCACAGTATTTTCTTAAATTCTTAACATTTAAGAATTCTTATTTTTTTTAATTCTTAAAATTGATGACCATTTGTGACATCAAAAATTGGCCATTTGCTACCAAATGGAAAGGTCTATGGAATCTAGGGGCTGAAAAATGTGTCAATGGGTTCTATTGTTCAAGACATCATTGCACTGAGATGTCAATCTTTGGAAATCCTAACTGATCTTTTCAGGTTGCTTCCCACATATATTTTCTTCCATTACAGTGAGGATATGTGTTTGGGAGACATTATGTGTTTGAAAGAACCAGTGGAGATTTCCACAGATTTCTGATATTGTTAGAATACCAGTTTCTTGAAGACTTGCTTCTAGTCTACTCTTACCAAGTATCTTTGAATAAAGTTTTCATTAAAAAAAAATACTTAGCACAATCCAGACTAAGCACAGTTATATGTACCTTTGTGAAGCTATTGAGTAACTGCATTCAGAACTCTGGTGATATTAAAAGCTTCATCCAAAGCTATTAATAAACAAATCATATTTTCTTAGCTACTCGTTCCTCTTTGGTTTCATACTTGTTTTGATATGAACCATGGTGTCACAGTGGTTAGAAGAGGCTACTTCTGCTGTCTGCTAGCTGCCTGCAGTTTGGCGGTTCGATGCTCACCTTCTCAAGGTTGACTGGGCCTTCCATCCTTCCAAGGTTGGTAAAATGAGAAGCCAGATTGTTTGGGGGGCAATATGCTGACTCTGTAAACTGCTTAGAGAGGGCTGTAAAGCACTGTGAAGAGGTATATAATTCTAAGAGCTGTTGATATTGCTATTGCTATTGAAAATATCCCTTTGCATGAGTCCCATTCATTTGCAATGAAAGAGTAGAAACAGCATTATTAATGAATGTAGCTGCATATGAACTGGCCACATGAATTATAGGATGTTTATTTTATGTATTAAAGGCCCTAGATTCAGTCCCTTGGCACAGTTAAGTGGAGTTAAATCTGCTGAGCCACTATTAAATATAGTTGACAACATCAGATGATATATAATGTTTCAAGTTTATAAATGGAATACATGTCTTCATAGAATCACATAAAAGTGAAATTGGGACCACATGGAACAACTTGCTGAGCCCTCTACACTGTGTAGTAAAGTTAATTTAATCTTGAGAGTTGGCTGTGCAACCTCTTCTTTAAAATGCTATAAATAACATGTTTCACTGAGTTACATTTATCGAGATTAAATAGCTGCAACTAATCTTTTTGGTCATGGAAAATGATTCTTGGTCATCTTTCCTGCAGCTTTCCTTCAGATATCATTGTGCTAATCTTCTCTCTTTCTCTCTCTTTAAACACACAATAAATCTCTTTGAAACCCCACAAAGTAATTCACTAAAAATCAAATTCTGCCCTCCTCATACTACAGTTGGGGAGGTAGTATTCTAGGCAGTGATGTGAAATGTCTCTTATACCCATGCTGTACTTGGCCTATTCTGAATCCATGAACTACTAATATGAAAGCTAGCTATAACCTTGAGGGAAGTGTTGCTGGGGCATTAACAAATCCTATGGATGAATTAAAGCATCTTAAATAACATGCTGGGCTCCCTGAATTCATCCTCTGGTAAATGCTGTGCCCATCTTCTGCCACTGCTATGAATCAATTCTCACTGCCTGAAAAAAGAAAGATTCAGCTTGTTCCTCCTGTCCTTTCCTATTAAGTAAGTTAAAAACAGTGCCTAGGAGCAAAGATACTGATGTAGGCTGGGTAGAATAAAATCTGCTGCCTGCTGTGGATTAATGAAATAGGCCAAAATTAATAAATGGGGCATGCTCCCGGTTATCAGATAGGAATAAATTTTTGCAATGCTATAATAAAACTGCTAAGTTGTGGCAAAAAACATAAAGAACCTATTATTGCTGGTGCCATTTGTTATATGTGCTAAGAACACCCTCGGAAAATATAAAATATCTGGATGCAAAGAAATGACCATACACAGACAGTGTTTTTATTTAGTAAGAAGACTGAGCTGTCATTAGCCCTCCAGATACAGTGCAAATAATGAATCTGGTTAGCTGCACAACACCATTTGTATGAAATATTACTCGCCTTAGCGATTTGTCTTGCATTGGTAATGTTTTCTTTTACTTAGGAGAAATAGGAAGTGAATGCTTCCTAAAGACTGCATTAATGTTTCAATGCTGCTCTTGCCGATTAAAAAACAGTTGTCTCATTTGCGTATCAGATAATATACCATCTCTTCTGCAAGAGCTCATGGAGGCTTATATGTTCTCTCATGTGATCCTTACAGCCCTATGAAGTCACTTGATAAGTTCCAAGTGCTTCTGTAGGGAGGGTAGCTTTAGTTGAGAGAAGACTAAGAGTCTTCTACACTCTAATCCTTAATACAAAGTAAAATCTTGAAGCCAACTGTTAAGTTTGAGCAATGAGAGGCTGAACCAGAGCATGAGTGCAACA